AACCAATTGAATTTTTAAATCATTTCTAGAAGAAAAACGAGAGAAAACTGAGTTGAACCCTTTAAAGGAATACTCGAAGTGGTGGCCTACTTTTCACACTGCGCGACTTGTTCCCCGGCCGCGGTCGAAATGGCCGTACCCGTGTCTGACGAAAATTTTTTTGCAAACAAATATCGGGGCCGTTAAGTTGTCGGATCTTCGGCCAGCACTTGTTCTTACACTGACTGCCATATCAATCTAAATTTTTTCACGAATGTCAAGATGGAGAACACCGTAAAATCGTTGAATGCATGTATCAAAAAAGTCAATGAGCTCAAAAAAGCCAATGAACTCAAAAATGAGAACGTCACCATTGCCAATCACGTGGACCAAGAACAAGAATACCATAAAAAAACCACTGAACGGCTGCTGGCAATCTGGAGTCTCCTGGTTAGAAAAGAGAACGAAAAGTGTCATGATCTAGTGAAGATGATCATTTTGTTAATGGATTCTGAGAAGAACATGGAGATTGTGGAGACTGAGAAGAATTTAGAGATGGTGAAGGGCAAAATCACTGAAACTTTGCATAAGAAAATCCGTGGGGAGCTTCAAAATAGCAGGAAGAAAAAGGAGGAATTCGAGAAGAGACTCAATAATATCATCACGGGAATTCGTGCGATTCAAAGTTATGAGGTGCCGGAGGATGTGCCAAACTATGCTCCCTACCTCCCGGTGATTAGTGTGGAGCACGAGAGAGCTGTTGAGAAGTTGTTACCGAAGCCATAGTGGTACAGTAATCGCTTACAGTAATCTAAGCAAACAAAAAAATTATTTTCAGATCCTCCTACAGAATGGTCTACAGTAACCTTGCAGTGTCTTCGAGACAAATTTTTTTTCGATAATTTTTTTTATTTATTGGTTTTAAACCCCATTCCCCAATACTTTCCTCATCCCTGTACTTTGTCCTCTTTCTTATCGCCTCTTTGTGAATTTGAAACTGAAATTTTTCAAAAAAAAAAAAATTTCAGGGTCCACAACCATGGCGGATCCTCCCTTGGACAAGTCGACAAAGATGAGACGACTCGACTTTCCGGAGAAGACTTGTCGATTCAAGTACACCACCACGGAGCTTCAATTGGCACTGGAGGAGATTCCGAAGGTGAGTTAAAGGGTTAGAAGAAAATTTCAATAGGGTTTCCGTTTGGGCGAATTTTCTTTAGAAAAATGAAAAAGTAAAAAAAAACCGCAAAAAAATTAGGAAACAAAATTCATTAAAAAACCAAAAAAAAAATTTTTTGACTCAAAAAACAAAAAAAATTGACCACCAACCCGTCGAACCGTCGAAAATTTGGAAAAAAAACAGAGCGAACCGCTAGGTCAGTGCCCAATTTTCGCTAAAATTAATTTTTTGAATTCCCGCCAAAATTTTCTGAACTTTTGAACTCCCGCCAAATTTCTTGAACTTCGGGATTCCCGCCAAAACTTTTGGAATTTTCGAACCCACGTCGAAATTGTCCGAATTTTGAATTCTCGCCAAAAGTTTAGAATTGTTAAACTCTTGCTGAAAATTTCGAAACTTCAAATCCCTGCCAAACACTTTAAATTTTGAATTTCCGTCAAAATTTTTGATTTTTTTGAATTTCCGTCAAAATTTTTGATTTTTTAAATTTTCGTATTCCCGCCAAAACTTTCGAATTATTGAGTTCCCGCCAAAAAATCGTGAATGAACAGATTCTTCTGGAAAACGTCAGAATTTCCCGGAAGGTCACTTCCCGAGAGCATGCCAGTGGAGCCTATGGCTTTTTTGTAACTACCGTAATCCTACAGTAATCTTCACCATTTGTTGTTGTTTTTTTCATTCCGAACACAATTTCAAAAAGTGAGGTTACTGTAGCTACCGTAATCCGAGCTCCAAATGGCATAGGATTAAAGCGCTCGGTGACCCATGCCAAATATAGTATCAGACAGTAAAAGAGCACGAAAATTATTGAGCGATATGTGCTAGACAGACAGAGAATCAGACAGAGAATCAGACAGAGCCTTCTGTAGCTACCGTATCTCTACAGTAATCCGAGCAAGAGTTTCTTCCAGGAAATCTACTACCAAGAGGAGCTGATCTCGCGCGCCGAGGAGTACAAAAAAATCAAAGTGCACGGTAATATCGAACCGGATCGCTACAAAAAACTGTTGCATTATGTCTCTTCAAAGATGTCAAGATTCGATTTATTCGGTCATATTGTGAGTTGGAAGATTGGTTTTTCAAAAAAAAAATTATTTTCAGTACTTTGCCAAAGGATTCGTAAAACCAGGACAAGTGACGACCCGATTCGAACTCTCATTGGGATTGATGGGGATACTCATGGAGCAGTTGGTGAGTTTTTTTTGGGATCGATGCACCTAAATAAGTGTTCCAGGAGAAGGACGGTCACCAAATCTCATACGGTTACGAGGAGCACGAAGTGATACTGATGCCTCACTTTGACATCGTTCAGATGCCTGATGTGGATTTGAAGTCTGAGTTTTTGACGAGAATGGCGAACAGGGTAAGGCAGTCTTATTTTTGATGACCCTAAAATTTTTTTTCAGCCATTTCCACCTTCAAAACCACTGGCCTATCTCAAATGGCTCTACACTCATCTTGGACCGACCCTTGACTTCATTTTTAATCTTAAGCTGGCTGGTCCGAGGATGCTGCCTCCGGTAGGTATTCTAAGGTTTAGGACAATGGGCTACCGTAGTTTTGAACCAGTCGGTGGCCGAAAATTCTCAGAGTTTATGAATTCAATCTACAAATTTTGAATTTTTGAATTCCCACCAAAATTCCTGCATTTCTTAAATCCCGGCAAACTTTCTGCATTTTCAAATTCCTGCCGAAATTTTTGAATTTTTGAAATCCCGCCGAATGTTCTGCATTTTTGAATTCTTGCCAAAATTTCCTCCGTTTTTGATTTCTCTCCAAACTTACTGAATTTTCGAAATCCCGCCGAAACTTCTGCATTTTCGAATTCCCGCCAAACTTTTTTGAATTTTTGAATTCCCGCCAGATTTTTGCTTTTTTGAATCCTTGCCAAAAATTCTGCATTTTTGAAATCCTGCCAAAATTTTTGAATTTTCAAATTTCCGCCGGAACTTTTGGATTTTTGAATTCCTGCCAAAAAAATTCGCATTTTTGAATTCCCGCCAGATTTTCTGCATTTTTGAAAACCCGTAAAAAATTTTTATATTTTTGAACTCCCGCCAAAACGTCAGAGTTTTTTAATTCCCATCAAAATTTTTTGTATTATGAAATTCTCGTAAAAATTTTCTGCATTTTTGAATCCCCGCCAGATTTCTGCTTTTCTGAAATTCCGCCGAAATTTATGTATTTTTGAATTTCCACCAAAATTTCTGAATTTTTGAACTCCCGCCAAACCTCCTGCATTTTCAAATTCCTGCCAAAACTTCTGCATTTTTAAAAATCATAATTCATTTTTAGACCCCCGCCATCACTCCCACCAAACATTTCCTTCGTGTCATGCGTCTCGGAGCAAAGGGAAAAGAAGTGGTCTATGTGGACGAGTTAAGACTTGCCGTTGGGCGTCTTGTTACCGTTAAATTTCCGGGTAGGATTTTTTTTTTGGGTAAAAATGAAAAAAAAAAAGGTTTTCAGC